AAAATTATTACAGCCGAGTAGCTCGTCTCATCCGGCGCTATTACAAGATAATGCAAGGCGCGCAGGCCGGGAGGTGGATGCTACTCGAGGCGAACAGTGAACCGGTCCTCTTCCGGTTGGTTTTGGGTTGGATCAGGGTGAGCGGCTGCGTCGGCTTCAGGAACAACTTCTTCCTCTTCAGCATCCTCCGCCTGCCGTCGCGCAATCTCCTCCCTAACCCAAGCGTCATAGGGCCCGGGCCCCGGCTCATTCGCCTCCTCGGCCAGAATGGCAAGATCAGAATATTTAAAGGCGAGTTCCCAGACGGTGAAGTCCGCCTCCGGGTGGATGAGGGAAAACGCCCGTTGCATCCGGTTTGCACAGTCATGCTCATTCTCTTCAATGAGCCTCTCCTGCTCCGACTCCAAGGTGGCCTTGAAGTTCTCATTGGCAGCAGCCGCCTCTTTGCGCAGGCGCTCATTCTCTTTAGCAAGGCGGCCATTTTCAGTCTCCGCCTTGCTCAGCCGTTGGAGGGGCTCTTTCTGTTCCTCCAACTTTTTATTGGCATCATCCAGGGACGCCTGCAGTTGGTCAACTTGGTTTTTCAGTTGATCAATCTGCTGTTGGAGGGCCTTGGTCTTCTCCGCCTGTTCCATGCGTATAGATTTAGATTCTAAGCCATGCATGTACAAAGAGTAGTCAGCAACATTATGGGCGTCATTAACAGCCCGTTTGCTTCTCCTTACCTCTTCAGACTTGCGGGTATAAGCTCGTTTGAGCCCCTCTACGCGCAGCATAGCCTGCAAAAATACAGCCGGTTAATACTGCATATTTAAAAATGCACGTCAAGAAAATTACCGCATGGTTGTTGGAGCATACGTCGGCCAGGTCGACCAGCACCCGGTCGGCATTAAAGGAGTTGATCCCAGGGATCGCCTCCTTCTCGTCCCTGGGGACGGCTTTCAGCATGGCCCGGGCATATTGTGCCCCGTCCGGCCAGCGGGGAGAATTATCTGCACCAGAAACAGACGGTGAGAAACTCGCATATGCTCTGCCTATAGATTGCCGGCTGATTGGAGAATCCCTCGGCTGCGATCCTCAATGGGATGGCAGAAAGCACATCCGCAGATCCAGGCCCGCCTGGGACCTTTATTGATTTGCCGCCGGTAGTTTGCCGGTCGGCTGTCTTCTGCACCTTGGATGCAGACTCTTGTTGGGTCGGCGGAGGCCTGACCTGTTTTTGAAGGGACCGGGGCATCTGCTTCCCGTCCTGTAAACGAGAAAAATATAAGTTAATGGGATAAAAAGATTGAAGTCAATGAGAAGGATCAGACGGTTATACCTTCCTCGCCGCCTGGGCAGCAAGTTTTTTCTCGAGATTGGCTTTCCGGATGTCAGCAGCCGACCAAGCCGGTGTCTTCTCGGTGGGCAGCATTTTCTTGGCTTCTTCTGCAAAGGTAGGCACACGGTTAGAATAATAAACAAGCAAGGAAATAAATGCATCCGGTTCAAAAGAAACCGGCTGAGTTCCGAATACATACGTTTTTTAAACATGCTGCTTAGACCACAAGCGGACAAGAAGCATTCGTCCCTAAAAAATTCATGTTTGGGCACCCAGTTTCTAGGTACCCTTACTATCTCTCCGGATGAGAGGGTGTCAGGAACTAACTCAAAAAACCCGGAGTCAAGGATGGTCTCTCTATCATCCTCCGGGACAGGGGGCAGGCAGCACTTGATCCCCAAGAGTTCTGGTTTCCGGTTGTAGATCCGGAACTCTCTGTTCTCTGCCGTAGTTGGGGCCTTAACCAAGTAGAACCAGTGCTTCCAGTCCGACCATTTGGATGGCTTGTCCAAGGTCATAAGGTATTTGGGCTGGGTGGTTAAGGTATACCAGGCTCTCCAGCCGCCGGGGCTCCTACTCAGATATTGCATATGGGCAAACGCCTCCCAGCCGGGGTTGAGGCCCTGCATCTCGCAAGCGGCGATATACCCTAAAATATTTACCCATGAGTTGGGGGTCAATTGCCAGAGACCCAGGCCATACCCCCTAAGAATGGCTTTTATTGTGTCGTGGAGAGGGAAGCGGACTCCGACCAAGAAGGCCGCCTCGTAGCACCCGAACCAAGCGTTTGCGTTCGGTTGTCCATCCTCCCACCATATTGTTCCCAGAGCAGCCGGGATTTTTATTGTATATTCACCCCCCAGCGGCCGCCGTTTGATAAAATCTGGCAGCGCAGCCCGCATGAGCTCGCGGTCCTTAGAGGAGACGGCGATCATAAGAGGATCGTTCCTATTATCCCAAGAAGGCCTCTCCGCCTCCTCGCTATCCTCAGATTCGGTTAAGTAGCTGCTACTGCTACTTTGAACGCGACCGGCATCTGAGCCGGCTGGGAAGTTGGAGACCTCGTTATCAGAGCCTGCCTGCTCTCCGGTCTCCTGGAGGGGAGCAGTCTCTTCATTTAAAATTCTATCACCCGGGGTGCTAGGAGCGCCCCCGGGTGAGCCTCTCTGCTCTACCTCTCCTTGCTCTACTTCACCGCCTGAAGCTGGGACCTCAGGCGGCTGCTCATCTGAGCTCCCACTTCTGTAGTTGGGATCTCTGGCAGTAGACCGGATTCTGGCCATTGTGTCCTGCACAGACACAGAGTCGGTCGATATGGGTGTTGAAAAAGGGTTGTCCCAAAGAATAGAGGCGGCAGACCCAGTTCTAGACTCAGCCGTACTAATAAACCGGCTGAGTTCACAGCTAGGTTCCGGGTATGGGTATAAGGGGTCCATCTACTTGTGGGACCAATGAACAAAAATGCGAGTAAAAGACTCAAACGGAAATACATGAAAAAGCTAGAAAGAATAGAGACGGTACCTAGAAGAAAATCTGGAAATTCTTTGGGATGCTTGCGAAGACGCAGACGGTTCAAAGTCCGGCTGGGTTTCTCTGATTACCCTCGCGAAAACCTTTGGCTAGCTTGCAACGACCCAGACGGTCTGTAGACCGGATGCTCTTAACCAATCTCAACTCCGACTGCTCTCAACTCTCAAATTGCCGGTTGCTCTCAAATTTTCAGAAATTTGGCAAAGTTTGTAAATGAGAGCTCGGGGGGCATCTTCTTCTATTTATAGGATTTGTCCCAGAAGGTGAAGAGTCGTGACTCTTCGCCTTCTGCTTTTCCATCCTTCAAAAAGAATCTGAAGAGTTGTAAAAAAAAAAAAAAAAAAAAAAAAAAAACCTTTCACCGGCGCCACGTGGCACCCTGCCACGTCAGCACCAGTGAGGGGCAAATGTTTGGGGTAAAAATACCCTAAACACGTGGCCCAATGGCCTAGTGACACGTGGCACCCAGCCATTGGTCGGCAGGGCTCCAATCCTCTGCTGACACGTGTCCTCTAAACCCTTAAAGGGGAACCATCCCTTCCCCACTATAAATAGTGGAAGGACCCTCATTAATGGGCATCTGAAGTTTATTTGAGAACATTCAATACTCCTCATAAATACAAACACCCATCCCGAGCAATATTAATTGCGGAATTCTCCCATTACGCGAGAAGTAACTTCTACATTACGTGCATCCTACCTCCCGTACCTTTACTAACTTGATCGTCGGAGGCGGAGCTCCTACCCCCAGGAGTCTTCGTGATTTTGCAGGCACAGGCGTCGAAGGGCATTCTTGGAATTGTAACTCTCCCGCAGGACACATCAAAAAACCCCGAAACAGAAGGAACGCCTGAAAGTTTAGAATCTTTCCCGGGACATTCTAAAATTTCAAGTGTTCCCCCCTGAACGCCTGAAATTTTATAATGTGTCGGGGGAGATTCTAAAAATCCAAGCGTTCCTTTTATGATTATGAAATTAAAAAAACGACGAAAAATTTAGAGATGCTCTGGCAACCTCTCCGGCGGCGTCGTTGCTTCTTCAAACTCGCCCATTCACCGCTTGTGCTAATCGTTGAAGAGTAAAGCAATTTTCTTAAAAAAAAATTATGACGTGGAGTGGTGGATGGTGGGGGTGGTTGTTCGGTGGCGGTGGATGTTCGGCGGTGGTGGATGTTAGGTGGGTGGTGGGGTAACAAGGTAGAGAGTTTAAAGGAGGTGAAAGTGAAATAGGGTGAATTTATAAGGGAGGTATGTTTGTAAAGTCGTGTCTAAATACGGGCGTTACCCAGTAAATACCGGACATGGTTAAATATGTAGACAATACGTAGTATGTATCCTTAGGAAAAAAATTTGTCAATAGTATTTTTGGACAATTATTTTATTTTAATATAGTAGTGTTAGATAATGACTTATTACACTTTGTGGCATAATTTACTTGGTCAGGGATTACTTGGTTAAGGATTACTCAGTCAGTCATGAAATACTCGATCAAGGGTTACTCGATCAGTTAGGGGTTACTCGATTTGTTAGGGGTTACTTGGTCGGCCAAGAGTTACTCGATCAGATGTTACTCGGTTGTTCAGGGGTTACTCAACCAAGGTTTACCTGTCAATGTTTTGGTGTGTGTAAGCCGGCTACATAATGTGATCAACCACACAGAAAACGCCCTGTTATTTTTAATATCGAAAATAACCGTGTGACATGGGACTAAACTACAATTATAAAAATAAAAAAAATAAAATAAAATAAAACAACCTTGCTAATAATGAACTTGGGCTATCGTCCCTTGGGCCAAGGACAACCCCCCAGACGTGACCTTAGCTTGCAAGCTTTCCTGTTTATGGCACACTTAATTAAATAATAACATTATTATCTACAAGATACTTGCTTCTCCCATCCAAAATCACCAATCTCACCCGTTTATTAAGATCGAAATTTGACTATTAACAACTACTACCTAATATGAAGAGTATTAAAAATTTAACCACAAATATTAAAAATGCTTCACCGAGTTTAAAGGGGAAACCATTAATTTATACTCCAACAATTTCAGTACCATCCATTAAACAAAACATGTATAAATCTTTTCTTTTTTTTGAGTTTCCTGCTTAAAAAATGGATCATATATCAATTATTAAGCACCCATTTGTCACCAAGAGCTTATTCCTTAAAATGAAATCATCAAAACAATCAACCACTCATTTGTTTTGAACACAACTATAAATTCACTGCTCTAATTCTACAAAGCAAATCATCTGCACTTCTCAAAAAAACAATTTTCTTCAATTCTCAAAAAGAAACCCACAAATTAATTTTATAGAAAATGGACTCACAAAACATTAGCTACCATGCTGGTCAGGCCAAGGGCCAAACCGAGGTAATAATTTTGAAATCTTTTATATCTGCATACGTTTTAAACTTAATAACATTATACTTCGTATTATGTACCTTTGATATGCATAATTTTTATGACATGCATGTTTATCATGACCTAAATATTCTCCTTACTACCTACATTTTCAAATGATCTTAACACTTAAAAATTTACATTTTAATCCTTCCTTTGAAAGTGTTAACACTTTTTTTTTAGTTTCAATATTAGTAAATTACCTAAACATACCTTACTATATTTTCAACTTTTATGACAATTTGAAATTTTATTCACCTTTTTTTCTTACTCACCAAACCACTCTTTAACATTGTACTACGTATCTATTATTTAAACCACGGAGTATATATAATTTTTTCTTACACCCAGTCACGTGCCCATTTATCACCAATTTCGTAAATTTTGTACAAATAGTAAATGTTAGGATCAAATGAATATAGCGGTAATATTAACTATATATTCACCTTGTTAGCAAGCAAGCTACTCCATAGTCATTAATTTTTTCGGATGACTTACATAAACAAAATTGAGTTTTGAAAGTGATTCATAAGTTTATACACTTATTTGAGATAATCTCTTTTTTTTTTTTTTTTATTTATTTTATTTTTATCCTGTTTACATTAATACTATCTTGTTTCAATAAATGTTATACGTACTCATCGTGCATGCAATTATGCTAATCCTTTTTTCAAAAAAATATTTTCACAGGAGAAGGCTAGCAACATGGCGGACAAGGCTAGCTCTGCTACCCAATCAACTAAGGAATCCATTCAAGAGGTCATTTTCTTTTGCCTACACTTTTAGATAATAAAATTAACATTTACAGTATATGAATAAGATAGGTATTGTATGATTAGTAAAATCTTCTTTTTCTAAATAATAGAACGGGGTTAAAATACTTTTATTAGCATCTACAAAAAATTATAATAAGATACACATTTATTTTTGTTGTGAAATGAACTTATTGTTTTTTGATAATATTAGAACATATTTTGAAAACATATTGGTTGTATGTAGGCTGGAGCACACATGCAAGCTAAGGCGCGAGACACCATGGATTCAGTGAAGGAAGCAACCGGGATGAACAAATGAAGCACCTAAATTTGAATGAAGCGTTTCAATATTTTTAATTTAGACTTGTCGCAATGCATTATATTTGCGACTTATAAAATAGGAATTTTGTGTTTGATTGATTCCTTAGCTTATACTTACGAGTAATAATTTGTATAAGATGGAAGTTCAATTCCTCCGTCTAATAGGCGTATGGTCTAAACATTTCGTAATTATACACACAAGGTTATAATTGAAGTCTTATATATGTAGTACACCAGAATTGTGTTATTTTATTTACCATCGCCATTATTGCATTACTTGAATGAGAGAATATTACTCAGTATATTTGATCATGAAGCCCGTAAAACCCTTGTATTTCATACAGTATAATATGTTGTCAACCGTACCTACCTATAATCTCTAACGTAGACCGAACCTTCTAGCTAGGAAGTACTGCTCTTACCCTTAGAGAAAGAGAAACTAAAATATACGTATGCAATAGATCGAAAGAACTAATCAATTTTTCTACAATTTTTCTATCTATATTGGGACAAGATTATTTTATAGTGAAATGAGAATTTTACATAGAAATGGTGGGGGTACGGTATTTCATAATGACCTAGCCCCGTTCAATATTAATCTTAAATATTTAGTAGAAGATAATTAAAATCACAACGTTAATGATTTTAGTTGTACTTTGTCAAGCTTAAAACTTAAAGTAGCTTAGTGCCAAAAAATAAAAAAAAATTAAAAAAAATTAAAAAATAAAAAAATATTAAAGATATCGATATTCATTATCTGTAAAATTGATAAAATGTTGGACTTATGGTCAATTCCAAATCATAATTCATTATTTTTACAAAAAATAGAGAGTGATAACATGCAAAGGATTAAGGACTGAATCCCAAACTTTTGTGTATCCATATCAACATCATCCAAAAATTTAGTTGACTATATATAAGGTTTGCTTTAGAAAATTTTGGAACAAAAATTAAACGGACAAAAGATTAAAATGACACATAATTTGAAATTATATATATAAAAATAAAAAACAGTGCAACCCCTTACACGGGATGGAAGACCATATCATACCAATACGTTATATTCATTTCACTACGACTTAATTAATATAGAAGTATTCAGCTAGAATATAGAAACCATACCATGCTTTCTTACAAGTTACCCCGTACAAATATATCACAAAACAACACAAAATAATTGTAACACAAAACAACACCAAATAAATCAAAGATAGAATAATATAGCATAGCCTCGGCGCAACGACCACGTACAACATATCAGATAGAACCACATACATCTAAGAGCAATGACCATAGAAAATTCCATTGCAGCTGTAACTTTCACAACATTTGCGAAAGAGACCGCAAAAATCCCCTTTGCCTGGGCACTTGTGGCACGAACCGGTGACACGGCCGGGAAGGATGCCAATTTTGCATACGGTACCTTTGCAACAATCTTTTTTCAGATAGACACCACATGAATGGCCTATTGGAATACAACTAAGATTATCATCAACGACCCTGCCTCTAGCCCATTCGAGTAAGATGTTCGAAATAGGGAGCAACTCATGTTGCGGCTCAGGAGCTAATGCACCGGCGGCATCCGCAGTACAAGTGCCTACCACCATAGTTACTATCACAGCTAGAAACACCATACTTTTTACCAACTTCATATCTTCCATAATATATATTTTGTGTAACGTGTATTTTTTTAGTTTAAGTTTGCAAATTGTTGAAAATAAAAAGTGGAGAGAGTCCTTTATTTATAACCCTACATCTTAGACATGCATTATGATTGTAGTGTACTTTTTTGTTTAACTTCTTTCTAATACAAATAATTCAAAATGTCTTGATTGTTGGGTTCTGAAATGTGTGGAGAGTGGTTCAAGAGGATGGAGACATGAGGAGATTACATAGAAGCTGCCTTGTTGTTAAGGTTCGACCAAACTTGTCAAAAGTTCGGTCGAACCAGGTTTTAAGTCAGTAGGTGCACCCGTTTTCATTTCTAGAGGAGGAGTGACCAAACCTCGAGGAGGTTCGACCGAACCACCCTAGGTTCGACCAAACTCTGGGTAGGTTCGGCCGAACCTACCTGCGCTCTGTTTTGTTGCTTCGTTTCGGCTTGTGCGATTGGTTTTAATCTTAGCCGTTGGATTGTATCTTATACTCTTAGACTATATATACTCATGTATGTCATTAATTAGGGGCATGATGTGAGATTTAGGAGAGAAAAAAAAAGGCCTCTTGAAATTAGTTCATCTTCTTAGGGTTTAAGAGAGTGAATTAAGAGAGGTGTGAGCTTTCAAGTGAGCTTGAGAGCTTGTAATCATCATCATCAAGTTACTCCATAGTGGATTGGTGGGTTTTCTCCCAGTACTCGGGTTCCCACGGTAAATTCGTTCTTGTTCTTTGTTCTACCTTGTTTTTCGTTCTTCGATTATTGTTAATTGCATTTATCACAAATTAGCTTGCACATTCGTTAATCTTTTCATTGATTGAATAGTATAACATTTTGTATTTTGGAAACAATATTTTGGCTATTAGATATTAACTCTAGAAGAATTAAAGGTACTTGTACGTTGCTTTCAAATTAGTTTTATTGTAACTTTTTGATTTGTTTTTATTCTGCATCTGAAGCTTCCTAAATTAATCTTATTATGCCGTAGTAATTATTGTTATGTTGTTATGCGCTTATGCATGTGAATGAGCAATGATGTGATGTACGTATAAAAAACCAGTGCGATTACTCTCTAAAATGTGTGTATAATACGCGTAACAATAAATATATACTTTGATCTTGATGTTTCACAAATGCGTACATATGAATTTCAGTAAAACAAGGCAACCCCCCCCCCCCTCTCCCACCAGAATCTTGTTTGTTCTGTAATAATGGTGGCGATTTTTTCCATGTGTGTTTGGAATTAATAGTTATAAAGAAAATAGTTATGTTTAAAAAGGGGTTTAAAGGGCGTATAAGTAAAAGATTACATTAAATTATTTTGAATTAATAGTCATATACAGAGTATAAAATTACTATAATTAATAGTCACACTGAACAAGGTGTCTAAAAGGTATGCACGTAAGTGTAAGACGGCATTGGATTAATAGTCACGTTGAATAGGGGTTTAATTAAGATATTAAACAGGGAGAATGTAATTGCTGAAGCATACCCTACCAAATAACACATGTAAGAGTCTCATATTGACATAAATTGAGAGAGTTAAACACTTTATAAGGCTAAGGGGCTAAACCTCCCATTGCCATATGATTTTGGAATGGAACACCCTTTGGTCTTGTGAAGTGAACTCTTTCTCTTTCAGTTTGCGGGTGCGGCCCAAACCCGTATTTAACAATAATAATGAAGAGAGATAAAAGCAAACAAAGTCTTAATGAAATTTTAAGAGAATAAAGGATGTGTAAGTAAATACAATTAAATTTTGTCATGAATAATGTAAAAGATAAACTGTTACAAGTTTCATACAATATAATCTTTATTTTAGTATTCCATCCTCAAGCACGTAACTTTATTCTCATTTGTTGAAAATAGAGGAAGCATAAACACAAATAATACATAAAATTATATCGAATAAGGTGTTGGAAGTAAAAGACAGTGCAATTGATATTTTACGTGTAAACCTGGGGAAAAAAACCCATAAACTTCAACAACACCCTTTTAATTAAAACTCACATTTCTTAAGAACTTCAATATAGAAATCTATGAGTGTTTTTTTATCTCTCCTATGGCCTCATTGAGTCATTGGTGTGCAATTGCATATCCTAAATTTAGATTAATATATAGTACAAAAAAATAATACGAATTATTAAAATAAATAGTTATATCGATCCTTAAACTAAATACAAATAAATAGAATACTTACAATACTAAGCTAGAATCCTAAATCAATCAAAGTAAGGAAGCTACATCCTCCACCATAAAATTATGGAAAATTCACTTTAATAATTCTAGTTTTGATAAACTTAAATTAAATAATTCCCCTTTCATGTATTCTGCAATAATCCCAACTTCACATGTGTTTTCTTTATTCAATTCCAATTACCGGTGACTTGAAGAAAAGGTTAAATAGTTTTTGAAAACAAATTCTTTGCCACATTTCGTATGTTAATGGGTTCAAAAATTAAAAAATTCAAAATTAAAAAAAAAGAAAAAGAAAAAGGATAAAACCACCAGCCACCAACGCTTGTGGCCACCCCTTCACCAACCAGCTAGCCCTACTCTAGCACTACCCTAGTACCCTCTCTGATCCCCAACCCCACATTTTCGACCTCCCTCCCTTCTCACCACCCCGGAAACTTACCCCCTAACCCCATTTTAATTGCATTTTCCGACATAGGGAGGAAATAAAAAGTGGGGGGGTCAGGTTTTGGGGTTTGGAGGAGGGAGGGGAGATTGTTTCGGGGGTTAGCGTTTGAGTTATGGGTGGTTTCAGGGGTTAGGGGAGTGGTGGTGAACGGTTTTAGTGGTTAGGGTTTGAGTTATAGGTGGTTTTGGGGGTTAGGGAAGGGGGACGGTTTCGGGGGCAAGGGTTTTGTTTATGGGTTATTTTGTGGGGTAAGAGGAAGAAGCGGTGGCGATATTGGTGGCGTCGGTTTTGGTTATGGGTAGTTTGGAGAGTGGGAGAGGGAGGGAGAGGTTTAGGGGATGGGTTGCGCGGGAAGGAGGATGTTTTTGGTAGGGGTGAAACTAATTCGGTTTAAAACCGAACCGCAAACCAAATTGAATTAGTAACGCAGTTCGGTTTTTTTGTTAATATGATTCAGTGCGGTATAGGAAATTAAAAAAAATTGTGGTTTGCGGTTTTGTTTCGGTATTAGGATTTGAAAACCCGAAAAACTGAAAACCAAACCGAAATATAGGCCTATATCTTAATTGTAGCTCGGATCTGATTTTTATTCCTACTATATAAGGCTAAAAACAAGTTATGTTGAGTCAGACCCAAAAAGTTTCAAATCAAGCTAAAAACATTAGGCCCAAAAAATAACGCTGTTTAGTTTTTTTTTTTCTTTCTTTTTTTTAAATCGAATAAGAAACGACTGGTGTGGTTTGATTTGGACCGCATAATAATATGGTGTGGTGCGGTTTGAAAAATCCCAAAACGAATTTATATAGCTTTGTTTCGGTGTGTGCAATAAACCACATCGCAAATTGAAATTTCACCCCTAGTTTTTGGTGATGCGAAAGGGGTGGGTTGGTTTTGGTGATGCGACTGGGAGGAGGAGCTAAGGCTGCCGGCAATGGGTTGGTTGTTGTTTTTCATTTTTTTTATTCTTGTTTTTTTTATTAATTTATTTGTTCTTTTTTTACCAATCACGCATGTTGCGACACATGGCCTGGTCACCTCTTATAACAGGTAAATGACCTGCTGAGATTAATAAAAGAAACTCGCATTAAAGTTGGAATTATAATAGAATAAGCGACAATTGAGATTATTTAAATTCACCAAAGTTAAGATTATTTAAGAAATTTTACCCAAAATAATTAATGCATTTAATTTTTTTTCACTATTCTTATATATACAAGTACTAAGTAACATATTAAAACAAATTTTTTGTGTCACAACAGAAATGACGTAGTGTACGTGGACGATAGATAGGATTTGAGGGAATCCGGTTGAAAATAGAAACAGTTTGTCCCTTAATGTTAATACAACTAGGTTAGAACTCGTGCGATCCACGTTTTATAATAAAATCTATTTTTATAATTTGTACATTTTTAAAAAATAGATAAATAAAAATAAGAATTATGCACCTTGTACATCTGTACTTTTAAAATTTTAGATTTTTATCAAAATTATGATATAATATGTGTTCAACGTCGCCTAATATATATTTCAATGATAGGTTGTAGTTGTAATGTAGAAACTTCTAATATTCAAATTTCAAAGTTATTAAATATGATAAATCCACAAAAAAAAAAAAAAAAAAGAAGATGACATCATCCTTGCATTTAGGGGAAAAATATTTATTATGAGAGTGACATATGGACAGTGATGACGTCAATAACGTTTTGTTTTAGTGGTTAAAGGGGGAAAGTAGATTAATTATGTGTCAAAGTGACACTATGTTCATACATACCAGACGTATCTGGGTTAGGATTATTAGTAGTAAAAGTAGCAGTACCTAGAGTAGCAGGAACTAAGAAATATTCATGATTACAATCAAAGATCATTGGATTACATAAACCCCCATCTAAACTAGGAGGCACAATGCTTGACCAATCTGAGAAAGCTGGTCCTCCCAAGCTCCAGACCTCATCATTCCCTCCAAGCACCTGTCTAGCTAGCTGACCCATTAAATGAGGTTGGAGATACTGAAGGCTTTTCACCACAATCTTTTGCATAAACTCCCTTTAGTGAACTCCTCGAACTTCTACTTCTTCATCATCATCGACTCCACAAAAATCAGTTAATTGTACCAAATTTGCCTCCGATGAACCCAACATTTTCGCAACGAAAACCGAATTGACACATTTCCGTTGCCTCGAACAGATGAAAACATGCCAATTACAGAATTTCTCCCCTAAATGAGGGTTTTGCAGGAGCCAACCAGGTACATTGCATCTCGGAAACAAATTAACAGTTATTCATTGCCAAAAACTGCTAAATAATCTGAAATTATTCCCTAAAACGTTAAAAAATTGATATCCAAGGAAAAAATAATCTAGGGCTAGGGTTTAGATCTTGAAATGCTACTTCTTTTAGAAAGGGGGAATGAGAGGAGAGAGAGAATTGAGAAAAGTGAGATTAATGTTAATACAATGGATTTTAAGTAAGTAAGAACATAAAGATCGTTTTTACAACCGTCGGATAACACCAATGACTTTTAGCTATCCGAAGCTATTTAAAGTATTAAAAAAAAAAACAGATGTTTGAATTATATATATATATATATATATATAGGGTCGGGATCCGGTGAGAACCACCCTTTATGTGAGAACCTTCATCTATGTGAGAACCAATACTAGCCATTAGATTATATGAAATTCAATGGCCGAGATTAAAAGACAAAGCACGCTTAACTGCTTCAACTTTCTCATTTTTTCTCTCTACACAACCAAGCTCCATAATTATCAATGGCGACTGATTAATCCATTTGAAGGCTTGACAATTTTGATTTCTTCTTCTTCTTCACAAGTACGAATAACTTCGATTAAAGAATTTGAAGGCTCGATAATTATCAAGGTTTGTTCAACTTTTCAATTTTGATTTTACTGCTCTGAAAATTTCGAATTGCATCAATTATTAAGGCACTGTAAGTTAATTTGATTTTGATTTTCGTTGTTGTCTATGATTTAATTTGAATTTTAAATCAAGATTGTGCAATTTTGATTACAAAAATTTGGGTTTCACATTTTTTAATTTCGATTTTAGTATTCTGGATATTTTTGAATATGAATGTTCTTAATTTTGGTTATCCGAGTTTGACTTTCTAATTTTTGCTCGGTTTTTTTTACTTTGTGTGTTCTCAATTTAGAATTTTCGTTAAAATTTCAATAGGATTTTCAATTGTGCCTGTAGACAAGATCCTTGACACCATCGAGGAGGTTGCGGACGAGCTGGACTTGCAGGTCCGCAGGAGGAAGAAGTATGGTGTCGAAGACTTGGTTGGGCCTAAGGGTGATTTCATTGTCGGGGTAGAGATTAATCAACTAACTGAACAATTGATAATTATCAATGAGTATGTTTTGTATATCCTGATAGTGCATACAAGGTGTTTGATAAAATGCTTGTTAGAAAATGCCTGGTAAATTATTTGTCGATTGAGGAATGTTATCACATGGAATTGAACAAGGGACTATTAATGCTGATCAAATGATTACTAGGCTTAAGGAGAATGTAGTTGGTAGAATTAGATGTTTTCCATGTAAAATGAGTGCTAAAAACAGAAGTTGGTTTGATAATATTTGATGTATAAGTTTCTTTAGCTACTTGTTTTGATAATATGTGATGAGCAACGATAATAAATTAGTTGCTCATTTGTCAAATGAGCAAATAATTAGTTGCTCATTTGTCAAATGAGCAAATACTTGGTTGCTAATTTCACAAATGAGCATTCAATTATTTGCTCATTTGACAAAAGATCAAAGAATTGTTTGGTTATATCACAAATGAGCATTGAGTTCCTTGGTCTGCTTGCCTATGCACAAGCCCCACCCCCTTCTTCTTGGTCTGTTTCCTGCACACCAACCACACTCCCTTCTTCTACTTCCCTCCACAAACCTATCCCCCTTGCCCCCTCATCTTTCTGCTTGAAGTTCTGATTTCAGAAACTGATTTTAGTTCTAATTTTAGATTATGAAATTATTGTGTGTGTGTGTGTGTGTGTGTCTGTGTGTGTGAGTGAGTGTAAGAGTGTATGTGTAAGTGTGTGTGTTTGCTCCTGGCCGTGTACATTCTTATTTAAGAATCTGATTTCAGTTCTAATTATTGAGAGTGTGTGTAAGTGTGTTTAAGGGGGTGCATATTCACTGCTACTAATTTACTTGATAATACTTCCTAGTAGTAGTTGTGTTGGGTGAGCATGTGTTGGGTAATTTGTGAGCTATGGTGGCTTTTGTAGTAATAATGGAGGCATTTCAGTTTCTACATGTGATTGTTTTCCTCTGCTTTTATGAGAGGGTGTTGATCTATATCAAAAACCTATTAGCTCAAGTGGTAGAGCACTATGCAAATGTATAGATGATGTAGGTTCAAATCCTACATAGGTTGTATTTATAAATAACTATACAGAGTTGCAGCAGCATTTTCTCGGGCATCAGGAGTCCCTGTCTGAAGGACATGGATCAGAGGCTCAATTGACTCAGCTTTTATAATGTTAACCTTATTGTTGTTACTGATAGACAAGTTCAGAACAGCAGTAACCGCGTTTTCTTGAGTATTCATGTCTGAACTACGAAGGAGGTTAACCAAAGGGCCGATAGCTCCACAACTCGCTATTATGATTTGATTATCCAAGTCCTTGGCTAAAATCCTGAGCTCTGAAGTAGCTTCTCTTACAGTTTCAAGTGAAGTACTTTTCAGATTATCTACTAATTCCTTTACATGAGCCTCGAATCTTGCAGCAACCCCATTTTAATAATCTTGGAGGAATGAGTAGGAACTCCAATCTTGTAACAGGGGATACGCAACTGAAATTGTAATGTTTAAACATGGCATATCAATTTAAAACCTTCCTCAAATTCTCAAAACCACCCATTATTTTTCTCTAATATCCCCAAATATACCCCTTTTAGGTTTCTGAGTTTCTAGACCAAATGAGTGTAGTTTGCTCATTTCTTTGCTCACACTACAAACTTGTGTCTCCACATTACATAAATGAACCTACGTGGGATTCGAACCCACATCTTTTGTGCATATGCACAATGCTCTACCCTTAAGCTAGTAGGCTAATGTATTTAAAACATTCAAACACACTCACAAATGAGCATTAATATTAAATAGTTTGCTCATTTGACAAAAGAGCATTGAATTTTTTTTGCTCATTTGATAAATGAGCAAAAAATTATTTGCTCATTTGATAAACGAGCAAAAAATTATTTGCTCATTTGAGAAATGAACAAAAAATTATTTAATGCTCATTTAAATGAGAAAATAATTGTTTGCTCATTTGATAAATGAACAAAAAATTATATGCTCATTTGATAAATGAGCAAAAAATTATTTGCTTATTTGATAAATGAGCAAAAAATTATTTGCACATTTTATCAATATAAAATGTGTTTCCTAATATCAATATTCTTACATTCATTCCTAACAACTAACCAAATTTTACTTTTAACGAAACAGATAATTTTGCTGTTTAGAAGGTATAGGAACTTCAGAGTCCATAATGTTCGCTTATTGTTTTTCCTGAGTGGTTCCTAACCACTCAGGAAAAATATACGTAGTACTATGTATTTAAAGTTGAAATTTAAATAGCAAATCATGAAACACTGCTGGTGCAATGACAAAAAGGTGTGTTATTTTTAAAAGAAAACAGAGAAAGTAGTAACAAGAAGCATCACATTGGTATTCTAAGGCTTAAGTTAACCCGTAGTCCCATAATAGAGCATTGATATTTTAAGTGATAAATAATACGATACAAAAGTTGTAAGTTAAGTGCACACTAAATTGACTTATATTGATACAAACCATGTTGTACCCTGTAGTCCCTAATATATAAAATCTAGAATGTTGGTATTGAGTAAATAAATAGTCTAAATAACATTAACACATCAGCCCTACAATAATAAACAGAGCTCTGCTAATCACCAAAACAAAAGTTTAAGAGCATATAAGCATATTTCAATTAAAAAAAGAGAGAGAGAGAGCAAACCTGTCCCGATGCATAATCCCAAATTCTGACATGCTCGTCTTTACTGCCTGTGTAAAGCTTATCCCCTGATGGCAAAGTGATCCATGAGATTGAATTAACAGATGATCTGTGATCATCAAAGACATGAGCTTGTGACCACTCAGTCTGATTACCTTCCTTCCAGATTATTATATTTCCATCATAAGAACATGAAGCCAGGATCAACCCAAACTTAGGATGAGCCAAAGTAGGAGAGTCCCCTTACAAAGTTACAAAGGCAAGTCACAAGATGTGAGGTAAGTCAAGACAGGAAAGCACAACCAGCATTTCCCTAGTGGATCCTAGAGATCCTCAATTAAACAGCCTTTTCAATTTCAACATAAAAGCACCAGCCGCATCACATTGCACATGATATGTACTTGTCTAAGTCACACTAATACACTATGGAGGATACTGTACTTATTTACAGCAAAACTAATAATATGAAAACTAGATGGATCATTCAATTAATTGTTACCCAATAAAGCATGTGAGCAATATTTGAAAACAATGATTAATTAGTAGTTTTATTTTACTATATTTTTATTTTACGAATTAGTTCGTGATCACTCAATAACATGTGTCATTACTCAAGACGACAACCTCATAAAATGTTGTATTTTTAACCATAGTTACACGAAAACTTTCATATTAAAAGTATCAACTATTCTCCACAAAGTCATTCTACATGCACAGGAACAAGACATCAAAAAATATATACGAAGTTGATCGGGAGGGTAGTCTACTGGTAGTCAGTGTTGTACAAGACCCTCAGTCAACTCCATGGAAGATTGATCATACATAATTGTCGACTTCCCTTTTCATGTTTTTACTTCTATCTATCTTACACTAAGCAGGTGTAAGATAAAATTTAGAAAATGTACAGATGAAATCATATTAAGGTATTAGCCTAACTCATCAAAACTACTTCAACAAACTCCTAATTCAGAAACGCCCATATAAACCTGCATTCCTACTTCTGTAATAGTACCATTTTATCTAAAACAAACCTTTGTTAATAATCAGAACATATTAAATTCCTTCGACTATATAAAATCCACATAACTCAAATTTCTCAGCTCCTCAAAACATCAAAGTAAAATTTTATACCAACTCAAGACACACCAATGCCATTTCATATGAAACGTTTAGGAATCATCATAGGCCATTCATGTCAAAATAAAATGAGCAAATTAAAATGAGTAAATTAAAATAAAATGAACACCATTCATCAAAGTTCATACATCATTGGCAAAAATGAAATACATTGATTGTAATCACCGTATTTTATTTCTAAAGTTCCAAAATACAAATGAAATACATAACACAATTCTGCAATTGCTCAATTACAGTGATAAAAAATCGAAAAAATCAATAAATTAATTGTATTGACAGATAAAAACGCTACAAAATAAAAATCAATTAATTGTTACTTACATTCTTCCTTCATAGGTAAGAGCTGTAGATTTTGCTTCGTTGTTGGGAGCTTGTGTTAAATCAATTTAGCAATTCATGATTTCTAGGGTTTAAAGTGAAATTGGAAAAAATTATTAACTAACAGTATTTAAAGATTAAAGCCAAAAATCGAATAACAAGTAATTACTACAAACCTAACAAAATAGTTGAAGATTCAAGCTAAAAATTGATGATAATGAGGCATTACAATCAAAGAACTATTGGAGAGGAGAGAGAAAGGAAAAGCTCGATCAATTTCTAGAGGGAGAAAGAGAATTAGCTGCAACCATTTTAGAAAAGAGCTAGACTAATTTTTATAAAGTTTCTTATATACAACTTAGAAAGTTCTTTTATTTACAAAAAGTGCCATTACTTTGACAGGATAGAGTATGGAGCGTTGGATCTAATTTGATCCAATGGCTGTAAGTTGTTCACACATATGATGGGTTCTCATATAAGGAAGGGATTCTCACATGATCCCATTTCTATATATATATATATATATATATATATATATATATATATATATATATATGAAAGTCCAACTGGCTAATACAAGAGGGGGGGGTGAATTGTATTTGAGGTGAAATCTAAAAACTTTTTGCTGAATTTAACTAAATGAAATAATGACGAGAGTAGATATAGGCTTTTCTAAATTTCCACTATGTAATCAAACTCTTTACAAGTGAAGATTCAAACCCGTTAACAAGTTCCACAAATTAGGAACTTGTTCCCAACTCTCACAGAAGCATTCAGCAGCGAAGCTTCCTTGACCTCACCTTACAAACTCACAATCCCAACCCCAAAGTACTTGAATACAATCTGTGATTACAAATACCTATTGCACTCAAGAATATATGAAGGAAAATAACTCTCTTTATGTTATTAGATGGCTACTGGAATTTTTATGCTTAAGAGTTATATTTTTCTGAGATAGTTTGCATGAGTATTTATAGAGAAGGCTTAGTCATTAACCTCCACTATAATCACGTCCACATGCCAACACCCCACTAACAACTTGTGGAGTTATCTTGACAGATGGTGATCATGAAAAGGTTTCCTAGCCTTATCTTATTAAATCACTATCTCAACAACTTGATAATCATTAGCCGTATAATAAAGATTTTAACACAGAAAAACCGCTTGCTATCTTTTTCAAATATTTGTTTTAAAAAGATTATCAAAAGTTTGTTTAAAAAGATTTTATTAAAAAGATAAATTTATTATTTATTAAAACAACTAGATAATTATCTTCGATAATTATCTTTATTAAAACTTTTACAAATTATCTTTTCTTTAAGAAATTATCTTTTAAAACTAACTTTTATTCCAGTAGTCTTTTTAATAACATAAGTCATTGAGTTCCTTTCCGACTTCATATTATTGAGTGCTCACAATTAAAACTAGAACGTGAGATTTGCATGAGGCTTTTTAGAGAATGCTACTCTGCATCCAAGTTCCTACTCCGGAACGAACTTTGCTTGAACCCTTTATTCACCAAAGACTCAAAACATTCATTAGTCGAGTTTGTCAATTTGTCCATCAAAACCAAAAGGCTCAACAAATTCCCCCTTTTTGATGATGACAAACATTGACAAACTTAGGTAAATAAAATCATCCAGGCATGCAACAAAAATTTAAAGTAAGACATGAAAACGAAAAGAAACAGAGTAATTAAAGAACTTAGAAAAATATTAAAAAGTATTTATTTTAAAAAGACTGAGCAAAAGAAAAAAAATTAACAAAGACTTTAAAAACTTAGATTACTAGGACTTTATTCAGAACTTAGAAAAAGTTTGTACCTTCGATCGATGTGTGAGTTCCTTGGTAAACACCTTAGCCGCCATGAAGTTTGTCTTTTCCCCCTTTTGGCATTATCAAAAGATTGAAAAAAAACATTTTGCTATACTCCCACTAGACTACGTAGGGAATAGTGAGCTCAAATAATGCAAGGCAAAAATAAGTTAGGCATTAAATTATCAACAAACACACACAATCATATGAAAAACAAGAGCCAAGTTCCCATAGACGAAAAGCAAAAGCAGGAAAGAGTAGCAAAAGTTAAGAGTTACAAACTGAAATCCGAATGAAACAAGCAAAAGCAAAAGAAATTAAAAGTGACAAGATTGAAATTGTAATTATGGTGAATAAGTAGGTTCATCAGCTGGGGTTTTGGGGTCATTAGAAGCTTCCTCCACCTCTTCAAAAGCCACCCTGTTAATCGTCTCCAAGATCTCTTGAGTGCTGTGCAGTATGTTCTTCTCAGCAGCATCAACTTTGTTCTCCATCCCAGTAAAACTGGTTGCCTGAGCATCTGCCACAGCCTGCACTTGGCGTTGAAGAGAAGCCAGCTGCTTTGCCATGTCCTCCAGCTTTGTGCACACCATCTTTATCAACTGCTCCATTTCTGCTTTCACCTGTTGAATATCAAAAACAGAAGCATTTGTTCCAGAGAAGGCAGCAAAGCCTGTAGGCTGTGATGTAGGAAAAGCTGGGGAGGGAGAGGGAGAAGTCTGTTTTGGAGGTGAAACAGAAGTGGAAGAGGGTTTAGCTTGGTTTGGGGGAGAGGCAGGAACAGGAGATGGCTCGGAAGCAAAAGGAACTTGTGTAGGGGTGAAATCAGGGTTTGAGTGATCAGAAGAGCTAATGTCTTCAATGATCACAGGCTTTAGAGTAGAAGTAGAAGGTTTGACAATTTTCATCTTACTCCTCCTTAGTCCCCCTGTATAAGGGAGGTCAAGACTCTCACTCTCTGAGCTAGATTCCCCCTCACTCTGAGTCTCCTCTTCTTTCTCAGAATCTGCCTCCTGTGGTTCCCCCTCAGAAATTGCTTCCTCTCCTTTTTCTTCCTCTCCTTTTTCTTTACTTTCTTCTTTTTCAGATTCACTTTCCTCCTCTTCTGACTCACTTGTATTTCCCTCTACAACCTGTGTTTTCCCTTTTCCACGGTTTTTCTCCTCTCCTCCTCTAGTCAAGAAAGTAATCATCCCACTCTCAAGTTTAAGGCTCAGGCGAAGCAAAGATTGCTCCGAGAGAATGTTCTCAGGTTTAATATAAGTGGGTGACTCACTTTCAACATCAATCCCAAAAGACTTAAACAACACAGTGAGGAGAGATCCATATGGAATAGTAGATTTATTAGCATAGAAAGCCAAATGTTCAATCATCAATTTTGGAAAGTTTATTTTTATTTTCCGAGCAAGACAAAAGATGATGGTTGCATCTAGTAAGGATACTGTGCTTCGTTTTTGCAAACGAGGAACAATGCCTCTCCATGTGAAATTGAACAATAATTTGTGAAGAGGGGTGAGTATGTTATGATGTGAAGTCTTGCTTTTCGGGTTTCCACCGATAAATTTAATTATCCTATTCTCATCATAATGCCCAATTTGCACAATTTGTTTGTGTTTTAGGTACGAACTATAGCCAGAGGTGGGGACTTGAAACAAGTTCCCTAAATATGAAACATCAAAATGAATGTGAGTATTTTTTACTGTAGCCGTGCATACACCATTGTTGTGTTTGAAAGTATTTTTGAATTCAAACAAAAGCTTAGGGTAAATTGGATAGTGAGAACAATTTTGGAACAAATGCACCCATTCTTGATAATCAATTAAGGAGATGAATTCGGAGAACTTATTTGTCGTACACCAGTCATAATTTATGTGATAGCCGTGAGTGTAATTCCAAGATGGAGACTTTTGAGAGCTTCGCCTCTTTCTGTCACCTTCTTTCACGGTTGTAGCCTTTCTCTTTGTCGAAGCTTGAGGGTGAACGACGGCAAGTGGGACTGGTTCAGGGGAGCCGCCAGCAGAGGAAGGTTTCCGGGTTTTTGGTGGTTTCGGTGTTGAGTTTAGGTTGGTTTTCATGGTTATGAAGGTGAATTGAAAGGAAGGAGAAGATGAATAGTGTGAATAGGGAGGAGAGAGAGTGAGGCCGGTTATGGGAGTTTATGGGGAGTTTAATTGATTTGATAGGTGAAGGTGGAGTGTTAAAGAAAAAAAGTTTAATTGGGAAGGGTGAGAAAAAGTGACGGTTTATATGGTAAGGTAGTAAAGTAGTTTTAGAGGTAGTAGGAGTTTAATAGGGTGTAATAATTGCAACTTTCAAACTTATCACAATAAAAGATATATATGTAAAAGATAAAAAATACGGAAAGTAAGGAGTAGTGAATATATTAGCTCCTTACCTTACGTGAAAAAATCTTTTTGTATTTTTGAATTTTATGAGGAATAGAAAAATTGACCAAAAAAAATGGAAGGAAAAAGATAGGAATAAAGAATAAGATAGGAATAAAAGTAAGAAAAAAATAACAAGAAGGAAAACAGATAAATAGAAAATGAAAAGGATAAATAAATGCAAATTGATCGTAAATTATGATGATAATTTAAGTGATCATGATATAGAGAGTAAAGAATGATGAAAAGGGAACTTGAAGCAACATGGCTCAATATTTTTAACATATTAAAGGTATGTATAAGTGACTTTTCAATACTTCACAAATCTTTCCCCTGGGTAATTTCAGCTGTGTTATGCACACAAGATTGAGCATAGCATTGTTAGTTACATCCGATTTTACCTTAGGGGTTCCAAACAAAAATCACTTGAGCCGTAGCATCCCCAATTCCACACGCATCTTTTCAAACTTGTCTCTGCTTAAAGGCTTAGTTAAAATATCAGCAATTTGACATTCAGTAGAAATAAAATCTAGCTTAATTAAGCCCTTTTCAACATTATCTTTCAAAAAGTGATGCCTTACATGTATATGCTTAACTTTAGAGTGTTGTACATGATCTTTAGAAATGCAAATAGCACTTGTGTTATCACAATGAATAGGAACGCACTCTAAAATAATGCCATAGTCACGCAACTGTTGTTTTATCCATAGCAATTGAGAGCAACATGCAGCAGCAGCCACATATTCTGCTTCGGCAGTGGATAGAGCAACATCGTTTTGTTTCTTGGAACATCAAGAAACCATGCAAGAGCCTAAGA